CCAACTCTGCGAGCTTCAAACTTCTCTTCTGCAGCTTCCTCACTTCTCTCTCAGCCTTCATAGAATTGAAAAGAGTTAGGGCCTTGCTCTTGATCAGGCTTTGGTTTCAGTGAATGTTGACGCTGGTTTGATCTTCTATCAGACCACTCAAACTTTCTCACTGTAAGCATTTTTGGATGTTTTACTTCCTCATTCATGTGTTCACTGGAGTAGCATTTTTAATTTCCATCAAGAACTCTTCGTTTGCATTCACAACTTGGCTAATTGCTTCACACAAGAGGCCTAGCTTTTGGACTGTCTCAGCTTTCTACATGCCTTCCTCACTAAGCTTAAACATTTCTAGCTTTGGATTTAAAGTGACAGATGTGTAACCCTTTCCTCCACATGAACACTTAGGGGCTATTGTAGAGTTATTAATTGGCCTGATTTCAGTATCGGTGTGTCCCAGCAAATAGGGAGGCCTCAGGAGAGAGAGATGGAGGAATGGCTGATCAGTCGAGCAGAGCAGTCAGAACACACATATTTATCAATTAAGTTTGCTGTCTTGTATGGGCACTGTTCTTGGTGCCCCCCCACTAAAAAATTACAATAATAACATCAAAGATCATTGGTCCTAGATTAACATAACAGATATAATAATAATGAAAAAGTTTAAAATATTGCAAGAATTACCAAAATGTTACATAGAGACATGACGTGAGCACACGATGTTGGGAAAAATGGTGCTGATAAACTTGTTTGATGCAGGTTTGCCATAAACCTGCAATTTGTGAAAAACCGCAATATTTGTAAAGTGCAATAAAACAAAATACAATAAAATGAGTTATGGCTATATCTAGTTTCTCCAATTCGTGAGCATCTCCAGTGTTGTGTCACATAATCAGGTTTGCTTCCTGCTGGATCCCCCATCCTCACTCCTCACAGGCATTAGGTTTCCATATTTATACTCTGCTAAGTCAGTTACCTCTCAGCCATTTGTTTTCCATTTTCTAAAATTTTGTTAACATTTTTTTTCATGTAGTGTTAATTCCTCTCTTGTTCTCTTTGTCCTCATGGACTTGCTCACTTTTTATTAATTTGTTGTCATCTTAGTGGCAATGGATGAAGTAGAGATAAACATATGTCTTTAATTCTCCATGTTTAACTAAGAGCATTATTTCTATTTTTGAGTACATTTCATCTTCATTACATGGCTACAGAAACTGTAGGATTTAAAACTTCTGCCCCACCCCACTTTCCCCCTTATCTATGGGGTTAAAACAACAAAAATATTGAAGTCTGTGCTGGTTTTCCTTCAGTGGTTGTATGTGAGCTGTTTATTTGAATTTACCACATTCTTCTTCTGGATCACAACAAGGTCCCTAACAGTGGGGCCACATCGTCTTGACTAAATGCGCATGGAAATAGTAAGAAGGAAAATGAAGAAGAATGCTATCCATTTTGACTTGGTTTTGATGATAAGGTGCTGTCCTCTAACATATTAAACTTTCTCTTCTATACTTTTTCTTTCTTCTTTCTTTCTTTCTTTCTTTCTTTCTTTCTTTCTTTCTTTCTTTCTTTCTTTCTTTCTTTCTTTCTTTCTTTCTTTCTTTCTTTCTTTCTTTCTTTCTTTCTTTCTTTCTTTCTTTCTTTTCTTTCTTTCATGTTCCAATTTTTTAATGTGTGTGTCTTTTTCCCAGCAAGAATTTTCAGGGGCTCCTTTGTTCACATTTACATTTCCAAAACAGTTTTATTTTCCATTTTGTCTCCTCTTATTGACCTGCAGCTTTTGCTGCTCCGCCTTGTGACCCTTGCTGTTTCTGTGGATGTGCTCCAGTAATCCCCACTCCACTTAGGAGGCCCCTTTTGCCCTTTAGAAACGTTGCCTTTTCCTCCTATCCTTGAGAACTTTCCTCATACAATCAAAAACAAAGTCCATCCACTCTTTGGTCTCTTGAAAGAAAACAGGGCTTTCCTCCCCTTAGTTAGCCTCCTTATTAGATCATTATTTTATTTTATTCTAATGGGAATTTATTCTCTACTTAAATGCAGCTTTATTTCTCCAGAATTGGAGAAATTTCAAGTGTCTTGAATGCATGATCAAAAAAAGTAGTGCTTTTCATTTTACATGCTACAGCCTCTATTCTTTCTGGCTCATAAATGTTATCCCTTTTATTGGCTCATTTCCTATTTTTATAAGTATATTCTGGACTTTGGCATACAGCCTTAATTATTTACTCTTACAGTTCAGTTCTAATTACTTAACTTTGAGGTAATATTTTGGTAACTTCTAATGGAAAACCTAGTCTACCCTCCCTACCTCCACCAAAGGAAATTGCCCCCCAAGAGAATCCTTAATTAGTTTTTCTTTACTTTTGGAATGATCCTTTTCTCATATCTAGTAATGATACAATCCAATGTCTTAAATGTTTCAGTCCACATTAAAAAATAAAAAAGCTTTATTCTTAAGTGGCTTCCTTTCACAACTAACGAGCAGGAAGAGTTCCAAATGTAACTGTTTTGTTTGATAAAGAAATCTGTTCTTCACTTTTAGTCTAGTCTCTCTTGCTGAAATCACATCCAGAAGCCCTGTGATTGGAAGCCTTTAAAACGGCCCTCAATGATCCTTACCCTCCTGACATTCACACCCTTGTGCAATCGTTTCACCTGGAGTGTGCATTGGACTGATAAACTCATTTGTAAGAATGAAACACAGCAGAAGCAGGGGGATGTCACTTCTGAGATTAGGTTCCAAAATGACTATGGCTTCTGTGTTGGCACCTGGCCTCTTTCATTCTTGGTCACTTGCTTGCCCTCAGGGAAGCCAGATAATATACTTATGAGCTCTTCTGTGGAGTCGTCCATGTGGCAAAGAGCTGAGGGAAGCCTCTGGCCAACAGCTAGTGAGGAACTGAGGCCCTCAGTCCAACAGTCTGTAAGGAAATAAATCCTGCCAACAACCACATAAGCGAGCCTGGAAGCCAGTCCTCCCCTAGTAGAACTTTAGAGGAGACTGCAGCCCCAGTGCACGCCCTGACACCAACCTCCTGAGAGGCCTTGAGCCAGAAGCACCCAACTCAGCCACGCAGATTCCTGACCCACAGGAGCTATGAGATAATAAATGCTTGTTGTTTGAGGCCACTATACTTGGGGGTAATTTGTCACATAGCAATAGATAACTAACATAGGCTCCTAAGGCAAATTTTCTAGCTTTCAGTCTATGCGTTTTATATGATACATTTCCTTGTGGGTCATTCTTTCCTTTGGATGTTAATTTAATTACTCATGCAAGATTTTCTTTAAATTCCTCTTTGACAGCAGGGAGTACCAATTTGTCAGTCTTATTTACAATTATTAAGTAGATCACCAGTGCCTACCTAGCACAGTGCCTGGCACCTAGATAGACGCTAATATATATTTACTGAATTTGACCCTTTCTGTCTTTTCCTATTCGACCTAGTTTATAGGTTACTTCTCACTTTCTATATTGCCATTTCTTTGGGGATTTAAGAGTTAGAAAACCTGCTAGTCTTATTGCCTTGACCTTCCTCCTTTTAATCTGTTGTCCCTCCTCCAGAGCTTCAAGTTGGCACCACCTCTCTCTTCCTCAGGGTTTCTCCAGTGGAGCTGCCTCCATGCACGCTCTCCCTCCCTGCTCCTGCCTGAACTGGTGGGGCGGCTCCCTTCACCGGGAGGTTGTGCTGCTGTGTTCCCACAGGTGACACTCAATCACCCAGCCCTCCAGCCATCTGGAGGAGTAGGGAGTGTGTTTGTTTTGTTTTGTTTTCATTTTAAAAGTAAAAAAACAATGGAGGCCCAGAGATGTTGAGTGCTGAGCCTGAGGTCATCTTGAAAATTAGATGCAGAATAACAAGAAGTTAGGTTTCCTGAAAGAGGAAACATCACACCATGCAGATTCAAATTTGAATCTTAGTTCCACCAAGCTGTGTTTTGACCTTATGGAAATTATACAACCTTCTTCAGTCACTTCCTCATCTGTAAGATGTAAATAATTTCTACTTTATAGGGTTTTCCTAGGCATTATTCTTGATCCAGATTCTATTGATTCTATTTTTTATCTTCTATTCACAATTTCTTTACAATAAGTTCACGTCCTAATTATAATGATATAAACTTTCTGTTTGGGTTGGTATATTAAATATAGCAAGAACACGGTATATTTAATTGTTGATAATATTACTATTAGCATTTTCCTTTTATGCCTTTATTAACATGTCAATAAAACCAACAAAAATATTATTTCTCACTAACTATTCAGAATCTTCCTCCATTTGCCTTTATTTGCTATACTGTCATATATGGGATCAAATATTGAAATGTGACAATATTGAATAACATTGGTGACTAGAAAACAGATTAATTGTTCCACCATTTCTAAACTATTTAGTAGTTCAGAAATAAGACTTTGTTTGAAAAAAAGTTTTCAAATCAAAATAAGTCTACTCCAGTCTGAATAAAAACACTGCTAAAATAATCATGCATACATAAGAAAGAAGACCGACACATGTAAATTACCTTATAAATTTAGGTTGACAGGAAGGTAAAATCCTAAAGTGAAATTATATTTAAAATACATTGTCCAAATACTTTTTGAACTTAAGCAGTTTTAGTGCTCTAAACTAAAACTTTTGTTGCTCTAAAAAGCACCAAAGCACCAATCTTTCTTTGGCAAAGATTCAATGTTAAAACAAATAAGACATAATTATATAAAGATTCCTAGTCTTAGAGGTTTCTAATAGTCATTTACAACACAGAACTGGGCACTGAGGAAACTTTAGAGATTACGTCATTCAATGTATTCATCTTACAAATACAGAAGCCAGGTCCAGAGAAGTTAAGTGACTGCCTAGTTAAGGACAGAGCAAGGATGTGATCTCAGATCCCTGACTAACAATCCAGGAATCTTTCCATGACACCAAGCTACTTTTCATGTTTCTGTTTATTTGTTGTGTTTTTTCACTAATTGCAAAGATGCGAAGGTACTGTCATCTGTTTCCTACCTCTTCCTGGGACTGGTTAAATTGCTGTATCAGTTGCGTCTGTGCCAGCATTACTCTTTCCAGTTCCTCTGACTTCTGTTTCATTTCCTTCCTCAAGTCTTCTGAAACGGAATCATTACTGTCAATTTCCTTCTTCAAGCGAGATTCAAATTCTGCAACCAAATTTTTAAGGTTTTCTATCTCTTTTTCCTTTGACTCAGATTCTTCAGTGTATCGAATATGGGATTCATGGAGTTTTTCTTCAAGAGTGGTCACTTCCAGCCTTAGATCTCTTGTAGCGCCTGTGATTAATTCAGATATCTGTAAGAAAAATCTCTTATTAGTTTATAGGCAATAGTTTTTAGGTAACCACAGAGTTCCTATGATTTTTAGGAGGTTTATTCTTATTTTGGGCAATATAATTCTTTTTTATTATTTTTTATTTTTGAGGAAGAAGTATGCTTTTTATATAGCACCTGTAAACATATCAGTGAAGTATACTATTTTGAAATTCCCCATTTTTTTTTTTGGAATGTTAGATTATCACAACATCAACTGCATTACATAATAGTTACTGAAAGCAAGAAAGGCTAAAACAAGAGTAAAATTTTACAGCTAAAAATATTCATAGCAGCAACTTTTAAAAGATGATTTTTATTATATCAAGCCATTGCACTCGGTCATTTTATTGCTACAGCAAAACAAGGCTATTAAATTATGATACTTCTCATTTTTTATTTAAATGATTGTCTCATTCTGTTCATACATTTAAGAGGTTTATTGTAATTAATCAGTATACTTTTTTGATCAGATGAAAACAAATCTTATGACATATACAGGACTTCAAGATTTTCTTTTTAAGAGTTAAGACTAAAACTTTTATTTTTCCACCTAAAATGGTATCACACTAATCACCCTTGGAAATATATAAATCTCTGTGACTGTATTGAGCTACAAGGACAGCTCAAGTCTTTACAAACAGATCAGGGGCCTATGTGGCACCTAACTAGGTTGGCTTTGGGATCTCAAAATGCCTGATATTTGGGGATGCAAAGAGGAAAGCACCACAATTATATACTACTCATACCATACCAGTAAGTTTTCTTTTGACATGATTTTTTTCCTTTCTTGTATATGATGGCTGGAGGTACCCCAGTTACTATACTTTCTAGAAAAGTATTGCCCAGTAGAACTTCAGTGATGATAGAAATATTCTGTGCTGTCCAGTATGGTAGCCACTAGTCACATGTGGCTATTGACAGTGGTATGCTGGTAAATGTTTAACAACTGATTGTCAGAAAAAAAAAAAGAGCCAGATTTATATCTAGTTTCCATGGTGTAAATGCTCTCACATGGTTACCAACATGATATCACTGGTCACTAAGCTGGGAAGAGATGCACAAGACAGGCTTTCAAAAGCCAGTGCTCGCTATTGAAATGTGGCTAATGTAACCAAGGAACTGATTGTAAATTTTAATTAATCTTAATTAATTTAACTGAAATTTAAGTAGCCACTTGTGGCTACCATAAGACAGTGCAATTCTAGAGAATACCAGAATACTTTAAAAATGTACTGCTTCTCAAGGTGGTACCTCTAGATAAATATAATAAATGAAGGAATTTATTATATTTCTTGGTGAAGCTTTTCCTCATAGCATGAAAGTCTTTAGAAGGGAAAAGATTGCTTATTTTCTTTCTCCTTAAAAAACAAAGAACAAAAAACAAACAAGAAGGAGCAGAGCTGCTTCTGATGAAACATATCCTTATTATTAATACTTATGCTACAAATATTATCATATTATAAACATTAGCACAAGAAACTAGTCCATGAAGAATCTGGAAAACATTGACCAAAGTTCCAAGGACTTTGTGAACTATTACTTAAAAAAATTTGTATCCAAAATTTGTTTCAGATGTTAAATTTACATAAAGAATAACTTTTGTGAGAAATCTATTTACAATTAGTAATTTTATAAATTAATATTCCATTATCTTCAACTAATCCAGGAGGGAAGAGGGTCATTGCTATGTCTGAACCGTGGTTTCCATCACCCTGATGAGAGCTGACCCTGCAATAAAGCAGATTATCCTTGGGAGAAGAGGATCACATTAACAGAAATATGTTTTGATTTTTTTTAAAAGAGAGTCAACATTTAAAAATCAGGAGATTTCACTTACAAAATCTGGATTTATGACTTCTTTTGAGAAACTGAAACATCTGACAAGTTCTGGCCTGCCCGTCTGCATTCCCCTGCCAATGGGATTCTGAGCCACCCAGACTGCAGCAGCAGTCACACAGTGAGCGGGAGAGGAGGGGGAGACTCAGTAGGGTCTGGGGTGCCAGGGCCAGGACCCATCTGGGGGAGGAGGAAGCTTGGGTGAACTAGGGCTCCAAGCTCCATTGTGCTAATTGGATTTCACTTACGAAGCACAAACCCAAAGATAAAATTATTAAGAGTTTCAAGGTAGTGTCTGCAGAGTATGAAATCGAAAGCATGAAGCCTTTCTGAGTGTGGGGCCCTGTGCTATGGCGTTGGTCATATACTCAGGTAGCTGGTTCTGCCACACAATGAACTACTAAAATGGTTGTACTAAATTTCCTGTGTACAAATGAAGAGGGCATCAGGACTCATTTGATGCTTAGCTAACACAGACTCTTAATGAGTTTATTCCAAATGCGATTTCCCCACTGGTTCTTCATTAGTATACACACACACACACACACACACACACACACTACACTAAAGTCCTATAAAAACAGGGAAACGTTAACAAAACCTTAAATTATATTTAGGACACACTGTTTAAGAAATTAAGAAGATGTGTTAACATTTTTAAAGTATTTCTCAGCCAGGTGCAGTGGCTCACATCTGTAATCCATACACTCTGGGAGGCCCAGGTGGGAGGATCACTTGAGCTCAGGAGTTGGAGACCAGCCTAGGAAAGAGCAAGACCCCTTCTCTACTAAAAATAGAAAAATTAGCCGAGTGTGGTGGTGTGCACCTGTAATCCCAGCTACTTGGGAGGCTGAGCCAGGAGAATCGCTTGAGCCCAGAGTCTGAGGTTGCTGTGAGCTAGGCTGACACCACGGCACTCTAGCCCCGGTGACAGAGCAAGATGCCATCTCAAAAGAAAAAAAAAAAATCTCCTCATTCAAAAATGTTTAGAATTAAAAATATTTGCCATTAGAGGGGATATGCTTTAGTTGTTGGGAAATTTTTAATTGTGTAAAACACCTCATTATCTTTTGATGTTAGCTATTTGAGGTGTTGGAATATCTAGTCATGATAATTTCTCATCATATAATTTATACTGCTTTCAAATTGTTTTTAGTAGAAAACATTTCATATACAGCTGGGTTGTGTGCCTGTATAATTTATCTCAGCTATCCATTCTGGAAGACAGCCAAATTATTTTACCTATATGGCTAAAACTAAGGCACAGTGACCATAAGAAGGCCTATAAATACTGCAGCATTCTTAGGAGGAAATAATCAACATGTGTAGTTTCAAACTCATTAAATAGTGATGAATTATCATAATAACAAACCTTCATTTGTAGTTCCTCTTGTTCTTTCTTATACTTTTGGATTATTTCTTCATGCTTTTCTTTTTCAATATCAAGTTCCAGTTTTGCTTCTTTCTTAAAGAGAAGAGCTTGCTCCTCAGATTCAATTAAATGTCGAGCTCTTTCCTTGGCCAGTTCAGCTTCAATCTAGAAAATAGCATTTAACACATACATAAAACTATTTTGCCTTGAAATAAGTACAGTAAGCTTATTTTCAGCTTAATTTAAAAAAAATTTTTAACATTAAATTTTTAATTAAACTATTTAAAAAATTCTAGTATTAAAAAAATATGACTTAGAACTTGGGCCAAATATTCCAACACCTTCTAAGACCTTCTAAGACCTGAAAAATTAATAGAGAAGTTAGAAATATATATTATGACAATTTTCATAAATACTAAAAGCTTAGTCATCTGTTCATTTATACTGTAAACTCAGGCTTTGCCAGTAATTTATAAGAGAAAATTAAAAAAACAAACAAACAGATTTTGAGGCTCTTAGACAAAGTTCTGCTGAAACCTGAGAGGGGATACAAAGTACAAGTGTTGATTTTTCAAATGGCCCCTTCTTGATGGAGGTCATAGAAAATTTTGGAGTCACAGATCATCATTTTAATGTGACTGAGGCTGGAAAGATGATTAAAGGAAGTGAAGTATCACAAGAATGGAAAAACAAGCACCACATGTACTCACCATCAAATTGGTATTAACTGACCAACACTTAAGTGCACATATAGTAATAACATTCATTGGGTGTTGGGCAGGTGGGGGGGTGGGTATATTCACACCTAATGGGTGTGGTGTGTACTGTCTGGGGGATGGACATGCTTCAAGCTCTGACTCAGGTGGGACAAAGGCAATATATGTAACCTAAATATTTGTACCCCCATAAGATGCTGAAGTAAAATGAAAAATAATTTAAAAAGGAAAACATAGTGATGCCTGTACAGATGATCCCCTACTTAAAATGGTTTGATATTTGATTTTTTGACTTTATGATTGTGTGAAAGCAATATGCATTCAGTAGAAACTGTCCTTCGAATTTTGGGTTTTGATCTTTTCCCAGGCCACCGATATGAGGTATGATACTCTCTTGGGGTACTGGGCAGCTGCAGCAAGCCATGCAATCAGGAGGGGAAACAACCTCTACCCTACAGTGTATATGTACTGTGTTGCCAGCATTTTGAGGATACTGTGTTTTGTGTTTTTGGCATCATGTCTACAAAATGCCCATTTTTTTGATTTACAATATCTTCAAATTACTGTGGGTTTATCGGGAGGTAACACCATTGTTAAGTCAAAGAGGGTCTGTATCCATATTTTGATTCAGAATCATAGTGCTGGAAGGGATCTTAGAAATTCCCTAGTTCAACCTCTCATGCTTCCATGAATTGTGGAAAGAATAAACAAGGATTTTGGATGCAGATGGAGTTGAATTTAAACCCTGGCTCTGCCACTTGATAACTGAGTGATCTTAAGTTTGTGACTGTAACCTCTCCTGGTGGGGTTATAACTAGTTCCCTTAGGGTTGTTATGAGAATTAAATGAGGTAAAGCATCTGTATAAAGCTCTAGCACAAGCAGACATTCTATAGTCAGTGGAGATTACTGTAGTCAGTGGAGATTACTTCCATGCCCTGACTTTTCAGTCTTTACTACAAATCTACAGTAAATGACAGTCTGCTATGTGCCTCACAACTCCAGAAACCATAACTCACTCCTTCCTCAGTAGGCATTTCCATTTTCAGACAGTGCTAAGCATTAAACAGTTTTTCCTGTCATTGAGCCAACATCTCTCTCTATGTGGTTTTTAACCATTGGTTTTTGCTCTGCCTACTGGAGCAAGAGAGAGAACAAATCTATGAGTACTAGAGTCAGTCATCCCCTGGGAGTTCATCTAGTAAGATTAGAGAAGGGATCCTATGATAGGCTGGCTCTAGATTTACACTGTACTATGATTAGAAACTCTAAGAGGGGGCAAATGCCAGGTAAATTGGGGAAAAACTGTCAAACCTGACTATGATTATGTGATTTAGGCCACCAAGAGAACAAAAGGGGTCAATCTAAATTTCTCAAGGGAACATTGAGAACAAGGTAACAGGACACAGAAATATTGCTAAGAAAGTTTATGGAAAGCCCTTTAAATTAAATAAAATGTAGACAGAAGACTAACTTCAGTGTTGGGTCAATTGGTTTTATTTCACTGGGTATAGCACTGGAGCATTTGCCCCAGGCAATGTAATTATACAGTACTCAATGCAAGGAGTTATTTTGGCTCTCTGAAAACAAATTTCTAGATTGTCTAGCTAAAAGAGCACTAATGATCTTTTAGGAACATTATAGAATTATTTGAACGGGTTGCTCTCAGACTTCTAAAGACAAGGAGAGCTTCAGGGGCACTCAGAAAAGAATATGAAACCAGTACAAGGTGGAGAGGGTGTGCACACTCAGATGTTTCTGGTGCACTCTACAGCTCAGCTCGTTTAGTTTTCCCATGTAACTTGTCTCCACACATCTCCACAGAAGGTGTAAGGACCATGGACTTGGTATTTATTTAGTTTTAAAATATTTGGGGATTTTCTGGATAAATTTTTGTCAATGTTTTCTACTTTAATTCCATTATTGTCAGAGAAAAGACTTTGTATGATTTGAATCTTTTTAAATGTATTAAGACTTATTTGTGGCTGGGCATGGTGGCTCACACCTATAATCCTGCCATTCTGGGAGGCCAAGGCAGGAGGTTTGCTTGAGGTCAGGAGTTTGAGACCAGCCTGAGCAAGAGTGAGACCCCGTGTCTACTAAAAATAGAAACAAATTAGTCGGACAACTGAAAACATATAGAAAAAATTAGCCAGGCATGGTGGTGCATGCCTGAGTCCCAGCTACTTGGGAGGCTGAGGCAGGAGGATCGCTTGAGCCCAGGAGTTTGAGGTTGCTGTAAGCTAGGCTGACACTATGCCACTCTAGCCTGGGCAACAGAGTAAGACTCTGTCTCAAAAAAAGAGACTTATTTGTAACCCCAAATATTGTCTACTTTGGTAAATTTTCATGTGCACTTGAGAAAAATATGTATTCTGCTGTTAAGTGGAGAATTCTACAAATATCAATGAAGTCAAATTTGTTAACAGTATTCAATATATCTCTTAAAAATCAATTATTATACTCCTTTCCATAGTATATATCCTTACTGATTTTCTGGCTATTTTTATATCAATTAATGAAAGAGGGATATTGACATCTTAGACTCTAATTATGGATTTATTTCTCTTTGCAGTTCTATCAAATTTTGCTTCATGTATTTTTAAGTTAGGTGAATAAACATTTAGGGTTATTAAGTATTCCTGGTGAACTAACTCCATCATCCTTTTGAAATAACCTTTGTCCCTGACAATATTTTAAGTATTCTGATGTCCTTGATCTGAAATCTACTTTATCTGATAGTAATATAGCTACTTCAGCTTTCTTTTGATTTGTGTTAACCTGTTGTATCTTTTTCCATGCTTTATTTTTAACCTATTTATATCTTTATATTAAAGTGTTTTTCTTAAGAGCTTATTTGGAGGTTCTAGCAGGAAAGCACAGCTACTCATACACCCTTCACCAAAGAATAGTCCTCCTCCCTCAGGAAAGGTTATCATTTTCCACCGATCATGCAAGTTTGGGTGGGACCCCCAGGAGCAGTGAGGGAAGAAGGGGACACTCCACCTAGCCATCTGGATCAGCCAAATCAACCCTGGTGATAAATGGGATGACAGATGCAGCCAGATCACCCTACAGACTAAGGCTCATTTCTTACAGGCAACATATAGTAGGATCTTGAATTTTTATCCAACATGAAAATGTGCTTTTTAATGGAGATGTTTAGACCAGGGCTTAGCAAACTGTGGCTCACAGACTAGATTCAGCCATGACCATTCATCTGCATATTGTCTATGGCTGTTTTTATGCTACAATGGCAGAGTTGAATGATTGTGACAGAGGCTGTATGTCCCACAAAACCAAAAATATTTATTAACTGGTCCTTTATAGAAAAAATTTCCTGACGCTTGGTTTAGACCATTTACATTTAATGTAGTTATTGATATGATTAGCTTTAAATCTGTTATCTTGCTGTGTGTTTTCTATTTGACCATCTCACCTTTTTTCGTTTTCTTATTTTTCTGTCTTCTTTAGGAGTGAATATTTTTTATTCAATTTTATCTCCTTTAAAGAAATTTAAATAATAATAAAAAAACATATCTTTACTCACACTGTTACCATTTCTGGCATTTTACATTCCTTTGTGTAGATCCATATTTCCATCTGGTATACTTTTCCTTCTGATTAAAGGACTTCTTTTAACATTTCTTATAGTTCTGGTAACTTTTTTAGCCCTTTTCTGAGAAAGGTCTTTATTTTACCCTCATTTTTAAAGGATATTTTCACTTGGCACAGAATTCTAGGTCAACAGCTTTCTGCCCTACCCCAGGCCCCTTCTTTTAGTATAATACTTTCAGTCCTACTATCTTCTTGCTTGCATTATTTCTGATTAAAAATCTGCTGTCATTATTATCTTTGTCCTTCCATTTCATATGTCTTTTTTTCCCTCTGGTTGCTTTTAAACTTTTCTTTTTATTACTGTTTTTGAACAACTGGATTTTAATGTTCCTTGGTGAGCTTGTTTTTTTGTGCTTGCAGTTTGTTGAGCTTCTTGAATATGTGGCTGCATTAAATTTGTAACATTTTCAGTCATTATTTCTTCAAGTACTTTTTCTGTCCCCTCTTCTTTCTCCCGTCCTTCAAAAATTTCAATTATACATAAATTAGGTGCCTTGAATTTGTCTCACAGCTCACCAATGTTCTTTTTGGTTTTTTTGTTGTTGTTTGTTTTGTTTTGTTTTTTGAGTTTCTTTGTTTGATTTGAAAAGTTTTTCTATTGTTGTGTCTTAAGTTCTCTAAACCTTTTTTTCCAGAATGTCTGTTGTTTGCCATTGATCCAGTTCTGTGTACTTTTTGTTTTGGTCATTATCTTTTTCATCTCTAGAAATCCTGTAACTAACTGGTATTTTTTATATCTTCCACATTTCTACTTAACATAGTCATTTTTTCTTTAGCACTGGGACATATGGAATACAATTATTATACCTGTTTTAATGTCTTTGCCTGCTAATCCTAACATCTGTACCTTTCTGGGTCAGATTTTACTCATTGATTTTTCCTTTCACTGTGAGTCCTACTTTCCTGTTTGTTTCCATGGATAGCAATTTTTGATTGGATGTTAGCTATTGTTAATTTTACCTTGTTAGGTATTGGATATTTTTATATTCATATGAATATTTCTGTTCTGGGATACAGTTAAGTTTCTTGAAATCCGCTTGATTATTTTGTCTTCCTCTTAACATTTATCAGGCAGGATCAGATCAGCATTTTATCTAATGCTAATTATTCCCACCTACTGATGCAAGACCCTTCTGAGTAAATTCTAGGTTTTCCAGTCTGGCTGGTGGAAACATACATTATTACTGCCATGTGTGGGTATTTGATACTCTCCTCTCCAGTCCTTTCAGATGGGCCTTCCCTTGGCTTTGGGTAGTTCGCCCACATGTAAGGATTGATCATACACTTACGCAAGGGGACTCTGTATATCTCCAGTGTTCTTCCACTGTGCAGCTCTCTCTGTGAACACTATCCTATGAATTTTAGCTACATTGATCCCCCTGGACTCTCTGCAAGTTGTCTTCAACTCAAAAAGTCTGCCAGACTTAATCTGGATTCCCACTCCCTGCAGCATGGCCTGAAATTTCTTTCAAGGCACTAAGCTACTGTAATCACAGGGTTCATCTTGTTTGTCTCCTGCCTCCAAAAATCATTGTCCTTTTTTGCGTGATGTCTTGAAACCATTGTTTTCTATCTTTTCTCCAGTGTTTTATTTGTTTCAGGTGGGAAAGTAAATGTGGTCCCTGTTACTCTATCTTGGCTAAATGCAGAAGTTTTAGACTTTGTATTTAGATACATGGAGGTTAATTCTCAGATAATTTCCTGCCTTTATAATTCTCAGATAATTTCCTGGCTTTATAACCATGGCAAATTACCTACTTCTCTGAGTCTAACTTTTTTATGTGAAAGTGGGGATAATAATGTCACAATGATTAAAATTATATTTATGGAAAACAGTACAAAGCCTGTCATATAGTAAATACTATAGTATTTACATATAGTAAATACTATAGTATTTGGAGACTATAGTAATGGAGACTATTTATCATCTAGATTAATGATTTAACAGATGATTTTTGCAGGCCAGATTTTACAGATCTAAATTGTTGAAATTTTATTAATTCAAATTTTAAATTACATTAATTTTTTTAAAAGTGTGTTGTGAATATTCTTTTTAGCCATATATATTATGCATAGATAAAAATTGATATTTTATAAATAACAACTTCATCTATGTCAATTTTTTTATTTTACAAGTTATTCTTCTTAATTTTATTAATAGTACACTAGAAAACCTTAGAATTATTTGGTCATTTGGCTCTTACATTTTCAAAAAGAATTTGAAATTTTGTTTTTGCCTCCCTTCAGAATTGGAATTGACTATTTCTTGAGATAAACTTTTCTCCCCTGCATTTTCCCTATCAATCCAGTTGCTTCAGCCAGGAAGTATGTATCAAGAGATATTGTACTGAGTCCCATCTTTTGACTCAGAAATTTCACTAATGGAATTAACATATTTGTTTGTTTAACTATTGGTTTATTTATTTATTTCACCATATTATGGGGGTACAAATGTTAAGGTTACGTATATTGCCCTTGCCTCCTCTCCCCCCTTGAGTCAGAGCTTCAAGCATGTCCATCCCCTAGTTGGTGCACATCGCACTCATTATGTAGGTATAAACCCATCCCCTCCCCCTCACCTGCCTGACACCTGATAAAGATAAGTCTTATTCCTATATGTCCACTTAGGTGTTGATCAGTTAATACCAATTTTCTGGTGGTATATGTGGTGCTTATTTTTCTATTCTTGGGATACTTCACTTAATAGAATGGGTTCTAGTTCTATCCACGAAAATATAAGAGGTGCTATATCACCGTTGTTTCTTATAGCTGAATAGTACTCCATGGTATACATATACCATATTTTATTAATCCACTCATATATTGATAGGCACTTCAGTTGTTTCCACATCTTTGCAATTGTGAATTGTGTTGCTATAAACATTCAAGTGCAGGTATCTTTTTCATATAGTGACTTTTGTTGTTTTGGGTAGATGCCCTGTAATGGGATTGCTGGATCAAATGGGTGTGAAACTATTAGAATAACTATTGGTTTTTAAAAGTTCTATATACTATTTAAAATTAGGTCAACGGTGCGATTCTAAAATGTTCTTAAATGTGATATTTTGATAATAATCTAAGAAAATATTGAGTTGGAATTTGTTTATTGTACTAAAATGTTAGTTAATAAGTTATGTGAGTTGATTATGTAAACATTGTGGCTATAGGCTATTTTTTATTACAAAATTTTAATTGAATAGTAACAATATTGTGCATTTAAAACCAATTTTAAAGGTTCTGCTTGCACATTAATTTGCTTTCTTCACATCAAAGCAATACTTGAAATAAACAAAAATCCATGACAATTAGTAAATATGCAGTTATTTTAAAATGTGCCATCTTTGTTGCATAGCAACTATTGATCCTATTATGTGCTTTTTACATACTCTAAAATAATTAAGCACAGGCACAAATTGCTATTTACTTTTTTCAGATGTTAAAAGCATTTAAGTTATGAAGTTTATTTTAATATGTGTTTTATACATTTGTAAAAGGAACATTTCATTCCTATGCAAAGGCACAGTGACCCAAGAAAGAGATGACAATGTCATATTAGTGACTCTCCTTTCTTATGAGAGGACTATTAGGGAACTTTTTATTCATAGTCTCAATAGCTAACATAGCCAAGACATAATTATCATTCCTTGGCTCCACTGCTCTGAATCTTGATTTGCTGCTAGCTAAATGATAACATTTATTAACACAATCTATTTCCTCTCAACAAAATGAAATGTCCATTTATACTATAGAAAATTATACATGCCACAATACATCTGTGATATAATTAATATATTAGAAAGATATCATGGTCTTAGTAATAACTTAGAGACTATTACATAGGATTATCTTCACCATCAAATTAATAGCATAAAGCAAGAACATAAAATGCTTTTATATGGTCAGCTGCTAACACTAACTTGTTCTATTCTCTGTGTTAGCAACTCAGGGATGCTGTATGGTGAGCATAAGACCTAGAGTGGATCATAAACACAGAAACCGTTCCTCTTGTCAAGTGTCTCTGAAAATCCCTAGTATGGTATGAATGTGGAGACAGGAACTTCTACACGAGCAAAGGCAGGAGAGTTCATTCCATCAGTCCAAGAAAAGGAGTTCAGGAGCTTGAGAAAAGGGAGGGATCTCTGAATCTCTACCTATGTTAATTCCATTAGTGAAATTTCTGAGTCAACAGATGGGACTCAACATAATGTCTCTTGATACATATGGAAAAACTGCTCTCCAAAAAGGTTCCTTTAATTTCTACTGCCTTTATGAGAGACTATCTCATTAGACCTTCACCACAGTGTTAAAACTATTCTATCAGTTGGATGGGTAAAACAAACAAACAAACAAAAAACCTCTCATTGTTTTAATTTGTATATTTTGAACTACTAATTAGGTTGATCTTCTTATTTTTGAATTTTTAAACATGGATTGGTATGGATAGAAAAAGCAAATAAGAGCAGACCAGCCAATTGACTACACTACGCTAATAAAAATTAGACAGAATTAAAGAAGTTGGGCCTTAGAGAAGTAAAAAAAAGAAAAAGCCTGTGCTACAAATAAAGAGTGAGATACTTACAGCAACTTTATTACACATTCTCAAATTTTGTTTTTGCCCATATGCAACTATTGTTACAGTGATCTTTTTATTATAGCATGACTGTGTGCCCTGAGGGACAAGGTAAGGAGTATTTATTTTTAGAGGGCTAGTACTGGCTGAGTATGGCCATCTGTTTGAAGGTTGGAAATGGAAGCAACAAATTTTGAATTGATCTAAGCCAGCAACAGTAACTAGGGGTTTTACTCTGGATGGTAGAGTGGGGATTCCTGGTGGAGATGTTAGTTTGAAGATGGCCACTGCTTGTTGCTTGAGGTTACAAGTTATGGGGTCTAGTTCCAAAGGAGAAGAATCTGATAATAACCAAACAGGTTGTCAGGACTTCAGTAAAATAATCTGAATTTCAGTGGCTAGCTCTAATTGTAGAGGAAAACTTAAGATATAGTAAGAAAACTAAGGTGGAAGGCCAGGGCTAGGCAAAGAAAGCAGCTGGGGCAGAAAATGAGTTGGAAATGCTTTGGCTCAATTTGCAGGATAGGGCCCCAGCGATCAGTCAATGTATTAGAGGTTTATGGCAGGGAGACGATGCTGTGCATGGCCTGAGAAGGCAGGGACTAACAATCTTAAAAATATTACTTATATTATTTAAAATTATGAAAGTAATACACATTCATTGCTGGAACTTTGAAAACTACAGAAAAGTCCAAAGACCAAAATCAATGCAATTTTTTGTTCATAATCTAGGAACAAAAATTTCTTTGTAAATAATGGCAAGTTAAATCCTTATTCATTTCACTTTGCCAAAACTTCATAACTAAATAAGTTTAAGTCATTTTCCATTCTCTTATATGATCTGCTTATAATAGAAACAGAGAAGTTGTGAGAATTAATATTTCTCTGCTTTTAGAACATGATCAAATGCAGATTCTGACACTTGATGAGAAAAAAATGTAAATACTTAAAAGTAAAAATTATGCTTTTCCATGAGAACCAAGGGCTATGTTAATCTTATAAGATTTCGAAATCTGTTCTTACTTTTTAATTTCCCATTATGTTGCCTATTATTTTGGAAAGGACATATCGTAAGCATATTTGGTCTAGGAAATTCCAGAAGGAATCAAAAATGTGCATAGAAACAAAGAAATCTATGTGGAATAGTCTTCTGGCAAATGGACAGAATTTTAAGAAGCAAATGGGACATATGCTGACGAAAGTCACTCTACTGTTACCTTCTCCTTCCAGTTATCATCATTCATCAGCTTCTGTCTAAGGGTTTCCTGCAGCTGCTCGATGCTTTTCTGATGTGAAATCAGCATCAATTCCCTGAAAATCATAAACCCGACAAATGAATAAGTAAGACTCACCCTAACACTATTCCTAAACTGTGGTTTGTGGCTCAGAGAATATTATTTCACAGCTTAGTCTATTTATTCTCTTTAGCAATATATTTATCGCTACTAAGTACTATCAATATTTTAACTGTTAACAGCAATTTATAAATACTGCATACATGGTAAGTGTTTTCCCAGGCTTAATTTTTGCTTAATAAGTAATAAGTTATTATTTTGCATGAAAGAGTAACAACATATGTAGAGTCTCAAATATAATAAAACATTGTAAGTTGGGTTCAAAAACTTTATGACTAAATTCTAGCAGCAGACATGTTGGGATATGCCATGAAGTCAACACATATTAGCAGTTCCTGAGAAATTTATTTTTCTTTTACTTATCTCAAATATTGATAGCAACAAACCAAATTAAATAGAAGGTAATGTCAGGGATGTGGTATAGTACAAAACATATTAAAATTAGAAAAGAAAACATAAAGAACACTTTAGTGTTTTAATCCACATAATGGATCTCAATGCTTAGATTGTGATCCTTCGGGTAGAAGTAAGAACAGGAGGAGATTCATGAGAAAACTTCACAAGGACACTGAAATTAAGACTTAGAATACCACTAGCAGCAGCAAAAGCATGCTTGTCGATCAGGGCTGCTTCCCACTTGCATAATCACCATGACTCTTATCGTTTTCTATGGATGTAATAACTTCTGTATTGCTTATTCTTTCTTCAAATCCCTTTGTTTTCCATCATCATTCTTTTCCTTTTAGCTTTGACTCCTTTTCAGACTTGAGACTTTCATTTATAACTAACTGCTTGTTGGACATCACCACCTAATGATCCATCAACACCAAAGAGTCCACACATCAAAAACCAAATTCACCATCTCCTGCAAACTTTCCTTTCCTCCTGACTTCTGAAAACCTTCAACGGTGAAAACCTTTGGCTTGAAATCCCTGAAGCCCTTCTCCCTGTTCTACCACAACCATTCAATAGCAAGTTTTATATATTCCGCTTCCTTTTATATATTCTGCTTCATTGGTGTCTCTCAAACTAGTTCCTGTTTTCCTTTCCCACAACAAAAAGCCTTGTTAAGTTTCTTGACTTTATTTGCCACCTAGAGTATTGTAATAGACTCTTTTTTTATTTTTATTTTTTGAGATAAGAGTCTCGCTTTGTTGCACAGGCTAGAGTGAGTGTCATGGCGTCAGCCTAGCTCACAGCAACCTCAGACTCCTGGGCTTGAGCAATCCTTCTTCCTCAGCCTCCTGAGTAGCTGGGACTACAGGCATACGCCATCATGCCCGGCTAATCTTTTATATGTATTTTTAGTTGTCCAATTAATTTCTCTCTATTTTTTAGTAGAGATACGGTCTCACTCTTGCTCAGGCTGGTCTTAAACTCCTGAACTCAAGCGATCCTCCTGCCTCAGCCTCCCAGAGTGCTAGGATTACAGGTGTGAGCCACCATGCCCGGCCTGTAATAGACTCTTAATCTTTTTATCTCTATTCCAGTCTCACTCATAATATTATTGAGCATTTTTACCATAATAAAAATAGCACCTAAATTTCTAGGCTAAAAAATTTTAATGACACAAACATAAGAAGACACAGTTGATTTAGTAATCCAGACATGAATATTGTTTGAGGAAAATTTATTGGAAAAAAATTAAAAATCCTAGACTTCCCTTTCCAGAAGCATAGCTAGCCCTGTAGGTAAGTATAAACAAATATTTTCTGTATAAAATAATATTTTAATTATATGTAATTAGTGGGACTAACAAAAAGAAAGAACTAGAACATTGGACAAAAATGTAGGATTATGTCAGGAGGGTATCAGAGCTATCAGAGCTCAAGTGTTATTTGTTCCTTTCATTATTTGAAAGGAGTTTAAGATATTAATTTTAGACTTTACTAAGTATGCATGGTAAAATTTCAAGAGTAACCACCAAAATAATAGAAATAAAATATGCTATTGGTGAAAAAAAATGCACTAAAGAAACAAACTGATGTCCAACAATGCTCCCTGCAAAAAGACCCAAAGGAGAAAACAAAGTAGAAAAAGAGTGAGAAATAGAAAGCATAAGTAATAATCACAATAATGGTAAATAAACTAAACTCATAAGTTAAGAGAGAAACAGACTTGATACCAACCAACCAACCAACAAACAAACAAACTCTAGTTATATGCCTTTTATAAGAGACAGTCCTAAAACATAAGGACATGGAAAGATTAAAGGGAAAAATTTGGAAAAGATATAACAGGGATATGTTAAAGAAAAGGAAGTGTGTAACTATGTTAATATCAGCAAAGTAGACTTTAAGACAAAAGTCATTATTCAGAGCTGCTAATGCTAATGGGTTTAATTTATTCAGAATATTCTAAACGTAAATATACCTATCAAATAAAATAGCCTCAAAATATATAAATCAATACTTGATATAACTATAAGGAGAAATTGTAAAATCCATACCACAGTTGTAGAATACCTCATAGCTCCCTCAGTTACAGGTAAGTCAATCCAGGACCACCACATGAGACAATGGAAGTATAAACTGCATAACTCCAGATTGTTATGTAAATGATCTCTTGTAGTTGTATAATATAGCAACACAGGGTCAAGCAGAGAAATAATTCAGCAAATACATAGAAGATTTAATTTAAGCTTCATATAGATAGATTTAAGATTCATATATAGAACCTTGTACAAAATTAGTGGGAAAATACATAATTATTTTCCAGCTCATATGGAATTGACCACTTACTAGTAAGTTTCAGCAAACTTCATACAGTTTATACTAAAACCTGCATTGTTCAATATGGTAGCCACTAGTGTCACATAGCTATTGAGCATTTAAAATGTGTCTAGTCCAGGGGTGGGGAACCGGCAGCCGCTGTGGCCCTCTGGATCCCCAAGTGCAGCCCCTTCACTGAATCCAAACTTCACAGAACAAATCTTTTTAAAAATTTGATTCAGTCAAAAGGCCGCACTCAAGGATCCAGACGGCCACATGTGGCCCCAAGGCTGCAGATGTGCTGTAAGTGCAAAATACGTACCAGATTTGAAAATTTAGTACAAAAAAAATCTAAAATACTTGTGATAAAGTTTAAGATGATTACATATTTAAATGATAATATATTGGATATATGGGTTAAATAAAATATATTATTAAATATGATTTTACCTGTTTATTTTTAGTCTTTTAATGTGGCAACTAAAAATTTGTTGTAATTTTAAACATACATTTTAAGTCACATACATGATTGACATCTGTGGTCCCAACAGGGTTCATTTCTGAGGGGTGTTGTCCTGGTCCTTTGGCTCCTTGCTTGGAAAAATCGCAAGCAGGGCCAGTGGGACAGAGAGATGACAGACGCTTAACACTTCCCACACAAGCGGCTTTTATTTCAGGCTTTTCAGCACAGGATAGAAAGTGGAAGTACATTTCCTGAGGGGAAATGGGTTTGCCTCTGTGAGGGCAGAAGACACTGGGGTCTTACCACACTTCTACTTTTATGTCTACAGCTTATGATATGCTAAATGATGAATGGAATATTCATTATTTCTCTGGGAAAAGGGTGGAAAGTTCATAGAGCTGAGGGCCCTCCCGAATTTTATTCTTATAGGGTAATTTCCAGGGGTTGCCATGACATTTGTAAACTGTTGTGGCACTGATGGGAGTGATTTTTACTGTGCTAATTAATGTATGTTAATGGCGAAAAGGTTACCTTTGGACATGAGATCCTAGTCGCTACATATGCTCCTGGCCAGGAAAAGTCCCTAACCTCAAGTTCCTGCTGTTGCGGGTTTGGTTCTAGATGCTCACTAGCCTCCTCATTTTTGCCCTCCTCCTCTTTTCCTGTGGTTGGTGCTGCCAACCTGCATCTGTCCCTAACAGTCCCCAACCCCTGGGCCATGGACCAATATCAGGACCAGGCCACAGAGCTCCACCAACACCCTCCTATCCCTCCACACTCCACCTCGTCAGCCATGGAAAAATTAAAATTGTCTTCCTTCACACCTGTCCCTGGTGCCAAAAATGTTGGGGACCACTGAGAACAGCACTACTATAATCTGAATTCTGTGAAAACAAAGAAATGTCAGTAACAAAAGATAAATAAAATATCTCCATATATTTGAAGATTATTAAAAATGTATTTATGAATAACTCATGGTACAAATTAAAAAATCACAATTGGTATTTAAGTACATTTAGAACTGAACAATAATGAAATTGTTACATATCGAAACTTATGGAATAAAGCTAAAACAGAATGGATAAATAAATTGTGGTATTCCTTAGAACACAATACAGATTAAAAAATGAATAATCCTCAGCGACATGCAACTTCATGAACAAATCCCAGGAACAAAATATTGAGCACAAAGAACAAATCACAGAATAATACATACAGTGTGATTTTATTTCTATGATGATAAAATACATGTAAAATCTAATACTTTTTGGAATACAAACATACTTGATAAAATTATAAAGAGAAGTAAGGGCACAACAGGTTCTCTGTAGGTTTCTGCAGATGTTCTTTATCAGTTTGAGGAAGTTTCCTTCTATTCCTAGTTTGCTGAGAGTCACAAAATGCAGGCTGGTGGTTATCTCTGAGGAAGGAGAGAATGGGATGGAATTGGGGAGAAGCAGAAAGGATGTTCAAAGCTAATGGTAAGGTTATTTTTCCTAAACTGAGTAGGTGATACACAGAAGTTCATTGTATTGTAGTTCTTTATACCTATATAAACCTTCTATGTATCTACTCAATATTTCTAAAAACAATTACTGATAAAGCCTGAGAATAGAGAAGAATGGGTATGTGAAGGAGAGAGAATTCAAGGTAAAAACCAAGGTGAAGAAATGGGCAGGTGAGTAGTAGATCTTTCTCCTGCATGGTGGGGTTTACTGTCCTCTATGGATAAGACAGTGTCATTCACTTGTATCGTTTGATATAGAAATGAATTAAGAAGGCAGAGCCACTGTCCAAATTGTTCTCAAAACCCAGCAAATGTGAAATGGAGATTAATCTTTTAAAGTGCAAGGCAGACTCACCAGGTTCTCATGCGTGCAGAGCAGTCTCTAGGCTGGAGAAAAGGAAGTGAAGCAAAAGGAATAAAGAATGAGGACAGCAGACATGGGATTACATTAAAACATTTACTTGTGGCTTTCTTCCAAATATCTGACTGATCTTGTCTCCTTTGCAAACTCATGTTCCTCTAATGCAATCTAGCTGCTGACAACTCCCAAATTTTATCTCTAGTTCAGATCTGTTCTCTGATTATCTGACTTATGTACCCAACTCTCCTCTGACTGTTCTATTTTATTTTTACATCTCAAATTTAGATCTGCAATCTCAGTGCTTTACAATACCAAAGTTTATTTTTTTTGTGCATATTATGTGTCACTTGCTGCTCTACACCACATGTTTCATTCCAGGATGTATCCCAGGTTGCAACTCTTTCGTGGGAATGCTGTTTTTGTGGCAGACAGAAGAGAAAAATTGCCAAAACATAGGATATTTAAAGCTTCTGCTTAGAATTGTTGTCTATCACTTCTCTCCCATTTCAATGGCAAGAACAAGTCCAATGGCCAAGTATGAGAGTAGTCAGGTGTAGGAAGTATAGTCCTATCACTGGGAGGTGCACTAGAAGCCATCTGACTGGCACCAGTGGATTCCATCACAACTCTGAAATCCCATAAGTCTACCCTGAAGGTGGGAAACATTCCTTGCTTGGACTATGGTACTTTCTCCTGGAAGTAAGTTCTCAGTCCAGTTTTTGCCATAGCTGCTACCTTTCTTCTCTGAGATGTGCTTCTTTTTCATTATCTAGCTTGGTCACATCTGAAGGGACCATTACAGATGTTGCCCTGATGGGAAACAAGCAACTTTTTCAACTTCCTTTGGGTCTGTAAAAGATGTTGGTGGTGGTGGGAGGTGCTCCTTTGTAATCCCCCACTCCTATCCTGTCTCACCTCCAGGCAATCAATGGTTTAGTTTCTGTCACTATAGATTAGTTTGCATTTTCAGAGTATATCTATATATAAAATCATACAGCATATTCTTTTTATGGTCTGTCATCTTTTACTCAGTATAATTAATTTTAGATTCATCCATGTTGTTTGTACCTTGCATCAATAGTTCATTCATTTTTTATTTCAATATATTAAAGGGCTAAGAATGTTTTAAGTTACATGGATAGTTCATTCATTTTTATTTCTGTGTAGTATTCCATTGTACACATGTACTATAATATTTTTAAATTTTGCCAATACAGAAATGGATGGATATACTATAATTTTTCATCCATTCACCTGTTGATGAACATTAGGATGTTGCACAGATTTTGGCTATTACAAATAAAGTTGCTATCAATATCTGCATACAAGTTTTTGTAGGGATGTATGCTTTCATGTCTCTTGGGTATATATGTAGGAATCAAATGACTGAGTAACAAGGTAGGTATATATTTAACTTTTTAAGAAACTTCACAGTTTTCCAAAGAAGTACCATCTTACATTCCCATTAGCAAGGTATCAGAGCTCCAGTTCCTCCATATCTTTGCCAACACTTTATATTTTCAGGCTTTTTGATTTTAGATATCCTAAAAGTATGTATTTCATTGCAGTTTTAATTTGCATTCCCCTAATGAGTAATGATATTAAACATCTTTTGATGTGCTTACTGGCTATCTATTTTCTGGTAAAGTGTCTATTCAAATCTTTTGTTGATTTTTATTAGAATGTTTATGTTCATATAACTGAGTTTCTAAAGTCCTTTATATATTCTGGAAACAAGTACTTTATTACATATATCCTTTGTAAATATAACATTTCAGTCTTTTCATGATCTCATCAGTGTCTTTTGAAGAACAAAGGAACACAATTTTAATTTTGATGAAGTCATAATTTATCAGTTTTTCAAAATAGATTGTGCTTTTGGTGTTGAATCTAAGAAATCTTTGCCTAACCCAAGGTCACAAAGATTTTTCTCCTATATTTTCTTCTAGAGGCTTTATGATTTTAGGCTTGATATTTAGATCTATGACATATTCTGAGTTAATTTTTGCCTATATTTCAAAGTATGAATCATAGTTCATTTTTTTGTATATGGATACCAATTGTTCCAGTACTATTAGTTAAAAAATCCAAACTATTCTTTCTGCAATGAATTACTTTGGCACCTACTGCGGGGCGAGAGTAGTTGAGGCAGGCCTGTGAGGAGATCAGCTGCTTCTCCCCACGGAGCCAAGTCCCTAAGATAGGGGTCACCACAGAGGATAAGGAAATTAATAGGCAGCTGAGAGAAATAAAATAATACACAGAGACTAAGGTATAGTTTGTATATATATTATATATATATAGAGAGAGAGAGAGAGAGGAGAGAGAAGAGAAGAGATCAGATATAACACATCGGGAAGTTCCTAGGGGACTGTCATATCTCCATCAACACCAGCAATATGGTTAGATTCATAAGGTTTTTATTTATTTATTTTTTTTTGAGACAGAGTCTCGCTTTGTTGAACAGGCTGGAGTGAGTGCCATGGCGTCAGCCTAGCTCACAGCAACCTCAAACTCCTGGCTCAAGGAATCCTGCTGCCTCAGCCTCCGAGTAGCTGGGACTACAGGCATGTGCCACCAGGCCCAGCTAATTATATATATATTAGTTGGCCAATTAATTTCTTTCTATTTATCGTAAAGACGGGGTTCTCACTCTTGCTCAGGCTGATTTCGAACTCCTGACCTCCAGCAATCCACCCATCTTGGCCTCCCAGAATGCTAGGATTACAGGCGTGAGCCATAGCGCCTGGCCTCATAAAGTTTTTATAATCACAGACATCAATTACCAGTTGTCAGGGTAACATATTTGCATATCAGGGAATGCAGTTGCTAGGGGATACAGGTAGTGGGTTAGGGTCAAAAGTCCTCTCAAGGGGCTTCTAATCTATCTAGGTGAACAAACAGGTACAAAGTCTTTCAGGGGCTAACTTCTAAAGAGGTAGTTGTCAATTAACAAAGGTATAACAAAAGAGGTATAGTGACTCAATATTTCTTTGATTAGTTATGGCGGACTTAAGGTAGACAGACAGGAGAGAGCAGGAAGCCCATCTCTAACAAAACAGGTTGTTTATAACCACCGGGGCATTTCTCTGGGCAAAGTGCACTCATTGTCTCCAGCTCCCATCCTGTGGGCCATATTTGCCTTGTCTTGTCTTTCAAGACACAGGGAAGCTCACAGATTTTGAGATACTGGGAAGCCTTCCTAGAAAACCTCCCCACCGGAGATTTGAGAGCTCTCTCATGATAGCAGCCTCTAATAAGTGAATCATTGAGCCCATACATTCTTTTAGGGCAAAACCCTGCAAACTCCTGCTTCTGTCTTTAATATAGTAATATTGGGTTATACAATAAAATAATGATCTTATGAGCCACATTTCACTAATTCCTCAATCATGTTTTCTCAACAACCCACATAGAAAATCAATTGACCATGTATATGTTTGTCTATTTCTGGATTCTCTATTCGGTTCCATTGATCTTTTTGTTTATCTTGATCCTACTATCATACTGTCTGAATTATTTGTAGCTTTATAATAAGTCCTGAAGTCAGGTAATGATGTTGCTCTTTTGACTATTAAAAGTTTTTTTCTCAAAGTTGTTCTGGTTATTCTAGTTCCTTTGCATTTGTTAGTAGATATAAATTTTATAATTAGCTTGTTATTTTCTAAAAAAGTCTGCTAGGATTTTGACTGTGATTGCTGAGATTTTGATTGAAATCACATAGATATTTGGTACTACAAATTTGCTGCTCAGTTTATTAATGACATCCTATAAATTTTGATGTTTTAGTTTTCCTTTAGTTCAAAATACTTTCTAATTTCCCTTTTGATATTTTATTTTTATTTAGAATTGTGTTATAGAGTTTACAAATATCTAGGGGAGTGTCCAGATACTTTTCTGTGTTTGATTTCTAAGTTAATTACACTGTCATCTGAGAACATATAGCACTTTGTATGATTTGAATCCTTCGAAATTTCTTTGGCTTTGTTTCATGTCCCAATTATGTGGTCAATCTTGGTGAATAATCTGTATAACCATGGGGGGAAAATGTGTATTCTGCCATTGTTGTGCAGAATGTTGTATAAATGTCAATTAGGTTAAGTTGATTGATTACAATGTTTAAGTTTTCTATAGCCTAACCGATTTTTCCATCTATCTGTTTTATCAAATATTAAGAGAGGGCTGTTGAAATCTCTAAATATAATTGTGAATTTGTCTACTTTTCCTTGCAATGCTACTAGTTTTTGCTTCACATATTTTTAAGCTCTGTTATTAGATACATAAACATTTATGATTATTCTGCCCTCCTGACAAATTGACTCATTTATCTTTATGAAATGAGTTTCTTTATTCTTGGTAATATTTTTGTTCTGAAATCTATTTTGTCTAATATTAACAGGCCCATTTCTAGCTTTTCTTTTTCTATTAGAGCCAGCATGATATATCTTTTTTCATTCTTTTATTTTTAACCTAATGTGCCTTTATACTTAAAGTATTAATGTTTCCTGTAGGCAGCATATATCTGGATCTTACTTTCTTATATAAGCTGATAATCTCTGCCTTTTAATTAAAATGTTTAGATAATTTACATTTAATTTAATTGTTGACATGGTTAGGCTTAAATATATCATCTTGTCATTTGTTCCCCATTCATCCCATCTGTTCTTTGTTTTCTTTACCTTCTATTTCTGCCTTCTTTTGGATTTTGCACTTCTTATGATTCAATTTTATCTCCTTTGTTGGCTTATTAGCTATAACTCTTTGTTTAGTTTTATTTTAGTGGTAGCTATAGAGCTGATAATAGACATCTTTAACTTAGCACAGCTGTGATAGGCTGAATAATTGCCTCCAAAGATGTCCATGTCTGAAGCTGCAAATATATTTCCTTATATGGCAAAATGGGACTTTGTACATGTGATTAAGTTAAGGATTTTGAGATGAGGAGATTATTTTGGATTATCTATATGGACCCTAAGTGTAATTAGTATGGCACTTACAAGAGGGAGGCAAGGGAAATTAGTTGGACATCTAAAAATATATAGAAAAAAAATTAGCCAGGCACGGTGGTACATGCCTGAAGTCCCAGCTACTCGGGAGGCTGAGGTAGGAGGATCACTTGGGCCCAGGAGTTTGAGGTTGCTGTGAGCTAGGCTGATGCCACGGCACTCACTCTAGCCTGAGAAAGAAAGGCATAGTCTCAAAAAAAAAAAAAAAAAAAAAAAAGAGGGAGGCAAGAGGGGAAGGTGATGTGACAATGAAAGAAGAGACTGGATTCATGAGGCCAGGAACTAAGGAATGCTGACAACCTGTAAAATCTCAAAGAGGTAAGGAATGTGTTCTCTAAAGTCTCCAGAGGGAACCAACCTTGCTGACACCTTGATTTTAGTCTCTTAAGACTCATTTCAATTTATGATCTCCAGAATTATTAAGATTATAAATATGTGTTTTTTAAAGCCACTAAGTTTGTAGTCATTTATTATAGCAGCAATAGGAAACTAATACAATGGTCTACCTTTAAGTGATATTATATAACCTCAGATGTAACTTAGACTCTTATAAGGTAAACTTAATCAAGATAAGGAGCAGCCATCAATGGAAATAAAGTAGCACTTCACTTGATTTTCCAAATGCCAGGATCACAGAATGAATGTGGCTGGCCATGTGCTTGTTAGAAGTGGCCAGATAGTGGAGTCCTGGCAATTTGATCCACTTAATTTCTTAAAGTAGGTTTCCTGTTTGAAAAGAGGTCTTCTTACTGTTTATAAAATTCCAATGAGCATTTCCAGATGGTGCCTGTGAATACATTTGAAGTTACCTGTACTATAAAGTAGATAGTACTGAATATTTGAGGTGCTTGAATTTCAGTCTCCCTGGAGATACTTATAATTCTGATACTATGAAAAGGAGAATCATTTCCATATGCATTCCTCTGATGCAACCAGTACAAGGTGCCCCTGTTATATGCATCCTTTTATTATATAACAAAAACTTTAAAAGTCTAGCAGATTATAGCAGCTAAAATATAGTAGGCTAGGGTTCAAATAATGTTAAGTGATTATTATTCACTGAGTTTTTAAGAAATTATGAAGCTCTTTATGACATTTACACAAAGTATAAGGTGTCTCGAGTAAATTGTTATACAAATATGAATTTGCATCTGTGATGGTAATTTTGCTTAAATATTATTGTTACAGGAATGAGAAAGACTCTTATACTTCTTTGATTCCTTGCTGAGCCTCTGTTCCTGACTCTGAGAAATCTTCAGTGAGACTCTTTAAAGGCATAGGCAGAAAGAATAATTATACATGATGCTATAAGCACTCATTGTCCTTGATTAGAATGGAATGGGCGTGTGTAATGTATACAGAAGTGATTATATGCCTGAAAAAGATAATCCTGATTCCAAAAATAAAAACCACGCTTATACAGTATACCCATGGAAGGGTTTGCACATTGTTCAAGATTACAAAACCAGCCGGGCGTGGTGGCTCACGCCTGTAATCCTAGCACTTTGGGAGGCCGAGGCGGGCGGATTGCTCAAGGTCAGGAGTTCGAAACCAGCCTTAGCGAGACCCCATCTCTACCAAAAATAGAAATAAATTAATTGACCAACTAAAAATATATATACAAAAAATTAGCCGGGCATGCCTGTAGTCCCAGCTACTCGGGAGGCTGAGGCAGTAGGATCGCTGAGCCCCGGAGATTGAGGTTGTTGTGAGCCAGGCTGATGCCACGGCACTCACTCTAGCAAAAAAAAAAAAAAAAAAAAAAAGATTACAAAACCATCTTAAGACATTGACGAAGCAATCTTGTGTTGAAAGAAATTATAAAGGACCAATTCTGACTCTAGGGAAACTTTTTGCTAGAAATCTACATAAATTATGAGAAATAAAAGCCTAATGATAAAGGCATAGTTCATATTTTTCCATGTTATAAAAAGCTGAAAATGTGTAGCTGTTTAGCTATTCAGCTTCCCCTTCAGAACAAGTTCTAGAGATGCTGATGCTTTAGAATTACAGCAAACAACATAGATTTAGGTCCTAAATTTGAATTTTACTAAGAATTTAATAAAGAATATTATCACTAGAATCCAGGAATTCACACTGTACTCCCAGGTCTGATTTTTGATAAGTCAGAAGCTTTCTGGTCCTGAGAGAAAAACTGGACTTTCCCAGTTTTAAATCTTATGATCAATTGTTCTATTGGAATTAAATTAATTCCCATCCATTCATTCAGCAAATTTTTATTAGGTATCTACTGTGTGTCAGGAACTATTTTAATCTATGGGGATACAGTAGTTCTTTCTTGTCATGCTTTAGAAATATGTTAATACAAGTCCCTCATTTTTAGAAGAAATGAAAACCTGAGTGGTAAGTGACTATCTAAGGTGATATGATTCACAAGTGACAAAACTAGCTCAAGCTTATGCCCAGCCAGGGCTCTCTGCACTATGTCATGCTGCCTTTGTTTTGTATATCTCAGAAGGAGGTGTGGCTATCTGTGATATCCCACCTTGCAATTTCATCAAATATTTTTTAAAAATAACATTTTTGGAATTGGCCCAATAGGCAAATTAGGACCTACCAGCAATTAAGAGTATTTACTTTTAAAAATTTAACTATTACATTCTTAGACCAAAAAGAAAATAAGAATCTAATTTCTTATATACATGCAAATTTAGATTCCCTTAATTGTAGTTAAAAACATAACTGCAAATAAATGTCAAACCATAATGCCAAAATGACAGCTTTGTATTCTGTTTCACAAGTTGTTCTTTTAGAGACGTCTTCACATTGTCAATCAAAGAGATAATTTTGATTTTGCCACAATTCCTGCCTCCATTAAAAGCAATAAGTGTGTGATATCATAAGAAGTTTGGCAAGCCTCTTGTTCTAAGAGCTGTTGATGGATAGGAAATCAGAGAAAAAGGTGAGTCTTGGGAAAAAAACCTGAGAAGTTTTATTATTTTACAATATTACTTAGAATACTTCATTTCATAATGTTTTAAACTAATGGCATAGTATCCAAATTGAATCACTCCAAGGGTTAATCTTTACAATTGCATAAGTAAAGCAAATAATATTGAATTCAACAGATATTTAATTAAACATGGCCAGTGCAGAGCATAAATATTAATAATATATGATACTTTAAGGGGTTAGCAACCTAAAGAAAGAGAGGAAACTAATACTTTCCCAGCATCTATAGTCTACTGGGTATAATACTAGATGCTTTAATATTCACAGAAGATAGCTATTATTAATATGCCCATTTTACAGATAAAGATAAGAAGCCTTAAAGTGGTTAAATTGCCCAAGCTTGACACTGGTCAAGTTGGGATTTAAATCTATGTTTGCCGAACTCTAAAGTCCATTTTTTTTTTTTTTATATTAAGCCACACTACCACAAGATAACACAACTCTTGCATTGCTTCTGAATCCTTCTTTTAATCTAATACTAGACATATCTAATCACGTCTCATTGCTTCTAGCCCTTATGAAAATATGACAAGCCTCACTGAAGTAACTAAACACCAAGCTTCTCTTCTTTTAGAATGTGGTTGTGAAATGTTTTTATTCTATTTTCAATCTAAAGATAGAGCATACTTCTGAGTTTGCCAAGGCACTAGAAAGCAGAGGACACCATCTCATATTTATTGAGTGAATAAAAGAATCCTGAGAGGGTGAGGGTGGGCAAGAAATTGAGAGGATGGGAGGGGGAACACAAAAGGGACATTGCTTTCTGCAGGGCTGAGTCCCCTGAAGACTTGGTGTTACAACATGGTTGAGAAAGAGAAGTCACACTGAGAGAAGCTGACAAAACTCAGCCCTTCAAGACAAATACTGAGAATTGTGCAAACTGTAGGGAAGGGAACATGAGTTATAAGGTCAGACACAACACAGCTCAATTTCTGTCTTTGCCAATTGTGTGACCTTGGGCAAGAAATTTAGCCTCGGTTAACCCTAGTATCCTCATACATAAAATGTGGAAAATGATACCTGCTTCACAGGAGAGGGCCATATCTCTGCTAGCCAGTACTTTTATGCAAATTTGAAAAATGGCTTCCCCTCAGGGATGGTGAGTTAGAAGAAGTGTCCCTTCTGTCTGGGTGCAGACCTATGGACACAAGGCTTGGTAAGGAGGGATAGCAAACTTATGTAAGAAAAACCCTTACATAACCCCTTCTTCTGGCAAAAGGGAGAGAGGGAGGGATGAGACAGAAGGAGGAAGAGAGAAAAAACAATAAAGCAGGTATGTTAAATCACAAGGTCCTGCCATGTATTAGAAAACAGTAACTCCATGAACTCCTGAAATAATTTGCTAGATTTTGTGTGTATTCCTCTGGGGTGAGGGGTCATAGCTTTCAATTTTAAAAAATGACAGATGAAGCAGAAGACCAAAAAAAAAAAAAAAAATTTAATGTAATGCAGATGGCAGTGAGGAACAGGAAGCAATTAAGTAAACTATAAGATAGATAAATGAGACACAGACAAACAGATACAGACATATATTATTTCACTCAGAATAATTTACACATAAGCAACTTGCACCTAACTTTAATTACAACTAAGCTTTTCCTCTAACAATGCTCTCCACTATTCCCATCATGTTATGGGAAAATAGATCAAAGTTAAGTATTTTTCTACATTTTTTCTTGGAATTTACCAAGATAGGGAAAATACAGCATTTGAGAATGCAGAGGGTATGAGAGCTATCATAAATACTATATGCTCCGACTATATGGTTGTAGGCCACTTGCCAGTGCATAAGTGAATTACTCCAAGTGCTATATGTAGGCAGTCTTCAAGCTTAAACACATATGTCCTTATAAAATATATTTGTAAGTTTGTTATAGGAGATTTAGAACATATCTTAACCATAGAAATAGTTTCCCATAAAAATGCAATTAGGTGACCGTGCCAGCCTCCAGAGCACTATTTAACCCATAGTATGTCTGAAATGATGTCAAACATTCACAGTTCTGGGTGGAGTTCTGGCTCTGGCCACAGAGACCTTGTGTATCTCAAGAGGATGGGAGCTGAGAGCTGTCTTTACGCAGAATTAAAAAAAACATACTTTTCTCTGGCACCATCCCTATGCCTTGCTGCATTCCTCCCCATCCACAAATGAGGCCCCTCTTATCAGTCCCAATATTTCTGTGACCAGATGGCCAGATCATCTCCACCTGCAGAATTCCATAATTCCAAAATACCTAGTTCTCTTCCTTTCATTGAAGGCTCTTCTAACTAGTGCTTCCTCGGCTGAGTGTGAGGAAGAAAGCAATGCGTAATTAAATAGGTTTGTACTAAAGGATGAATGATTTCCTAGTCATTTAACTCCCTTCCTGCTCCAAATTTAGGAGTTCTGCCAGTATTTTTTTTCTCCCTAGGGTCAGTTCTGGCTTTTTACATCTTTTTCTCCTCTTCTGAAACTACATAGCCTATAAATTGCATATTTTATGACTTCAGCAAGGGCTCTGCTGTCCACAGGGCTCTGGGAGGAGGGGCAATATGTATCTAAGACTGCCTGGATTTATAAAAGCACACACAGTCACTGGGAGTGAGTTAGGCTCTGGTCTTTGGTGAGCACATCTGGTGGCTTGGTGGGTTGTATTAAATATGAAATTTTCAATTTCAAATCAAAAGTGTAGTTTATTATACCTCAACCAAGAAACAGTACAATTAATCATAGTATGTGCTTAAACAATCGACACAGTTTTGCCATCTTAACGGTTCCTTGTTTATGCCAACAGTGAAGAATCCCAGAGAGCAAGTGACGATGAAATCACTAAAGGCATTTTCCACAGCTTGCTGAGAATTAAATATTTTTCCTTGCAAGAAGTGGTCCAGACCCTGGAAGAACTGGTAGCCAATTGGTGCAAGGTCTGGTGAATATGGTGGATGAGAGAGAGTTTCCAAGTCCAGCTGCTGTAGTTTGAGCAGTGTTGTTCGTGTGACATGTGGTTGAATGCTGTCTTGCAAGTCCTGTTTCTATTGGCCAATCTCTGCTGCTTAATCCCAAGCATCTCATCATTTCATCGAAGTGGTTGCAGTAGCCATCTGCTATAATTGACTGACCAGGTTTCATGAAGCTGTAGTGGATAATACCAGCACTGGACCACCAGATACCATTAGCTTTTTTGGATGAATATTCGGTTTTGGATTGTGTTTCAGCACTTTGTCTTTACCCAACCATTGTACTGAACACTTGTGACTGTAAAAAAGAACCCATTTTTCATCACAGTAACAATATGGTGTAGAAATGGTTCGCCTTTATGTTGTGATAGCAAAGAAAAGCAAGCTTCAAGACTATTTCTCTTCTGCTGCTCATTTAATTCATGTGAACCTATCTGTCCAGCTTCTTTACCTTACTAATTTGTTTCAAATGATCCAATATTGTTGGATATTAGTAACATCAAACCTTGCTGCTAATTCATATGTAGGTTGAAATGGATGCACTTCCAATACAGCTTTCAGCTCATCATTATCCACATTGGTCTCAGGTCACTTATATGGCTTATTTTCAAGATTGAAATCACCAGAATAGAACTTCTCAAACCATCAATGTACTATGTGTTCATTAGCCACATCCTTCCCAAACACTTCGTTGATATTTTGAGCTGTCTATACTTCATTGGTTCCATGATGGCACTCATATCAGAAAATAACATGAATTTTTGACTTATCCATGATTTCAAAAAATTGCTCTTAAAAAATGTGAAAGATAATCACAAGCCAAAACATGCATTTGCAAGATTGAGGATGTACCTTCACAATAAACATAAAACAAGAAGTGTCAAAGTGAAATGTCAGAGATATCAACTGTCAAACTTAGCATTTAAGGAAATAGGACATTTCATACTTAATAATTTTTTACTACTTCCATGGCAGTTGTTTGGAACTTTGCTGTGTAGCATTTCCAGGCACGACTGAGACCTATTGAATCAGAATCTCCACGGGTATCATCAAGCATCTCTATATTAAAAGCGTCCTGAGACTCGCTTCTTCTTTTGGAGGGACTTTCACATTTCTAACTGCTTAAGGAAACCTCTATGTAGACTAAGGTCCCATTGGTGTTTCAAATCAAAGTTCAAGAGCAAACACACTCAGCTGTGAGAAAGGGTCAGATTACTGAAGGAGAGAAAGTGACCAGAGGAAAGTCAAGTTCAAGTGTCAATTTTAGGGAATGTCTATTGTCAGGAGAGAAGTAGAAAGTATCAAAACAGAGATAGGAAAGGTGCAAAATAACAGGTTACCCTGGAGCTAAAAGAAGAACATTCCAAAGCAAGTTTGAATACTAATGTCAAAAGCTTCCCCAAAGGTCATTTGTTCTTCAGGGTGTCTTTAACTCTTAGGCTTACCAGGGAGTAGGCTCTGGCTCTTTTACTACCGTCCACTTAATACAGACACTTAAATAACCCAAGAGAAACTAGCAAGAGGTGGGAGCCTGGAGATTCTTATTTTCCTAATTTCTCTTAGGTTTGACTATATACAAAATCCTTTATCAAAACAGCAAATGTCCTGACTTACCCCCTTTGACAATATCTTCTCCATCCAGCTGCCAGAATGATCCTTCTAGTGTCATTTCTCTGCTTAAATTCCTTCAATGTTTTCTTTTTGTTGCACTGAAAATAACACCCAAATTCCCAAAGGCCTGTGATGTCCTGCATGATCTGGCCCCTGCCTGCTTCACTCACACCAGTCATACTGCCCTCCTGTCAATTCCTAGAACTCAAAGCTTGTTCTTTGCTTGTAAAGCTCTTCCTGGCTCTTGGCCTGGTAACTTCTTGTCTTCCTTTATATATTATCTTAGAAGTCACTTTCATGACAACCCTATCCAAAGCAGGCACCCCTTCTATCAGCCTCTACTACAATCCCCCTTCACTTATTCTATACCAATTATCATAATCTATAATTATTCTTGTCATATAATCTATAATTATTCTAGTTCTCTACTGTTTGTTTCTCCCATTAGAATATAAGCTTCATGAGGAAAGGGATGTTTCAGATTCACTGTTGTATCCCCAGGGTACGAAGTACCTGGTACATAATAAATGCTCAACACATACTTCACTGAGTGGCTTGAATTACCCAAAGCAAATGATTCATTCATTCACTCACTCAACAAATATTTATCGAGTAGATACATATTCCAGACCCTTGGGATACAGTTAGAGAACAAGGCAGCAAAATCTGAGAAGAGCATAGAACAAAGAAAAAGTGCAATGCTTATGTCTAGGAGTAACCTTTATAATTATATGATAACTTACTGGTCCACAAGTACATTTTTATTTTTATTATGTGATAGACACGTCAGTAAACTTAGTGCCACCAAATGACTAAGCAATATCATGTTTGATTCTGGGTGGATTAAAGCATAGAAAGCAAAGAAAGAACAAGGGCAAGGACACAAGCAAAATAAAGAAGGGAAAAGGAGAATAGCAGGTAGTTTAGTAATGTCACTATTCTCTGAAAGGTGATAGAAAATGTCCTTCTCATTCAATACTTATAACAAACATAAGATTATAATCATAATACTTTTTAAAACATGGCAAAACACATACATCCAAGTGACTGTCCTATTTCACAGCAATCCTCCAAGAAAGCTCTATATTTATCTATTGATATTACTACTCCTCAAAATATTCATAAAAATTCCTTTCTCAAAATACAGCCAGAGATAATTTATTAAGCATAGGGAAAAAAGAAAATGTTTTATTTTTGATCCTAAATGGTATTTCCCAGATTGATTTCCAATCATATTCACTAGGCTTTCTTTCACTGGACCTATGTGAGTTTGTTTCAAATATCAAATGTATTCCTAAAGAATAAAGATCCATCATCCTGATGATAACCTAAAACATGTATACTTAAGCCAATCCCCAGAGAAGAGTTCTGGAAACATTTGAACAAAGACAGGAACTTCTTAATGACTACAGTGAAGGAGAAAGCATTCATCTGAGTAAACAGTTAAACCTAATTAATTTGGCATCATTGGAAATGGTGTATCTTAGATAACATAGGACTTACACGGATAACCGAAGTTCTAAACCAAAGACTTAAAACAAATTTATCTACTTCATGGTATCTTTTTGAATATGTATGACTTGGTGCCTTTTATATAGAATATATAACTGGTTTTAACTTTTCTGACTTTATATGTCTGCATATATGGTTTTTTTCTTTGTTTATGTATGCTCCATTTTTCAGCTGTTATTCCTTTTTTCATTAGGAAGTCAGACTCTTGTAATTTTTCTTGGTTATAAAATTGTTACTTCTAATATGCTAAGGCTGAATAACTACATAATCATGAAATGGCAGAGGAGGTAGAATGGAATGAAGAGTCATGCACGTACACCATCTTTGTAAGAAGCAAGTTATTAGTGTTGCCAGATAAAGAAGAACTGGTGGGTGGGTAGCAATCAGCTCTGCGGTTGTTCATCTTATTCGCATCAAAGAGCAGTAAATGGAAAACCATCCTGGGAAGGATCAGAGAAAAGCCTTGTTTCCCTGTGACTGACTACACAGACCTCCTGCTAACCTGGAGTAGCAACAGATGAGATGCCCAGCACACCCTGTTGGTAAGAAAGAGTGCTGAGACAATGAACCCAATTCTAAGCTAACTGTTGCTCACTCCCTTGGGCTGGCTCCCAGACTCTTCCTTAGCAAATATTTGCCTGTATAGAGCACTAAAAAAAGATTTTAAATCTTCTAAATTATATTCATAAAGAATTAATAAAATAAAAATTAACTAAAAGATAAAAATGATAGGAAGAATGAAAAACAAATAGTCTATCATGTGCCTTCTGTATACAGAAAATAATACAAAACAAAAATTTTTGCCCTAATGGACCTTGTATTCTTGCAGAATATAGTAATTACATCAATAAATGTAAGTAGAATAATCTCTTATATGAAAGACTCTCAGATTTCTAAAACTAACAAAACAAAAAACCCCAAATCTGTGCTATATGCTAGATATGCATTTAAAGCAAAATGATTCAAAAAGAATGAGCAAAGATATAGTAGACAATGAAAACAAAAAGAAAGAAAGCAGGGTTGAAATGTTAATTACAGATAAGGTTAAAGATTAACCTTATTAACTGAACAAAAATATTTTGGAAGGCTGGACCAATATGCTTCCTAGTATCCTTGATACCACCTAAGGATGTGTCTTTACTTGTGATAAGCCCTCAATGAGATATGCCAACAGATGAGAACAAGGGAAAAGTAGGAGCCATTAAAAGAGAAAAATGATATAAAAGGACATTTTTCTATTGAAAAATGACAGAATTCACTAATCACTGACCCAGGTGAAATTTAGTAGTACAATTATCACACATGATCTAATTTTTTTCAATAAAAACTTGACACCAAATGCAACTTGGGTTCCTTTCCTACTTTCTCTAACTGTGTGACTTTTAGCAAGTCCTTTAACCAGCTTGTGCTTCAGTTTCATCACATGCAAAATGAGGTGGTGGGATGCAATGACCTTGTAGAAGAAATACATCTTTAATCCTATAATTTCACTGTTATTATAATATGCAGAACATCGATGCTTCACATATAAATGGAATATTCACTTAAACAAAATATTTTTGTAAAAACTATTCCTGATCTCACCTTTCATTTTTCAGTGTTAAAATCTCTTCCTTTGTCTGATTCAGAAGAGTTTTGGTTATCTTTAGTTCATTTTCTGTAAGGTTAATTTTTCTTTTTATGTCTTCTTCTTGCTTTTCTTTTTTAGTTAGCTCTTCCTGTAAAGTTTTATATATTTGTTGACAAGTCATTAAAGAGTCTTCTTTTTCTTTAAGCAGTCTAGTATGCCTAAAAATGAATAGGATAAAACCCCACCAATGTTCATTGGATATTATATTTTATATTTATCAAAGATATACAAAAAGCTCATTTGAAATTATAGTTAGTAACTGTGACTTAAAAAATTAAAGATGTTAAGGAAATGGGTAGTTCCGTGATATTAAAATTTTCCCATCTAGGCAAAGGCAAAAGCAATAAACAATTGCAAGACATTATAAGCTTGAATTAGGTGTTGTACATGTAAACAATAAGAAAATAAGAAAAGCAAAGTAATTTTAAATAAAATATTATTTAAATATGGTTTCAAATTCAATTGTTAAAAATTTGCAATATATACCGTGACTCAGAAATAATGGATTCGAACTTCAGTTTTCTAAGTTCTTTTTGATAGTCATCAGCTTCATTAGATTTATTCCTAAATAATAAAAAAGAGGTTCAAATATATTATTTTAAAATAGTTAAAGTGTTTTTC